CTAAAGTGGAAGATGAACACTGTGTAAACCTTGAAATTACACATTCTTATGTTAAATAAGATTAAAATGCATGCATTTAGAATGTTTTTTTACCCAAGCAATGTGGGACGTCTGTGCTCCAGTTGCTCATCGCCGTGCACTCAGTGACAGCAGTTCCATTTAAGATAAAACCTTCATCACAGGTTGTCGTGCAACGAGAACCAAAACTGAAGTCTCCATGAGCATCAGAGCAAATTATGGATCCGTGAGCAGGAGAGTTCAGTGTGGGGCATTTCTTAGCTGGAGATGAACAAAAGGAAAGATGTACACAAGGTATTAAGTTGATTTAAAGAAGTCCAGACGCTTTTCTTTGCAAGCTCCTTTGACTACGAGGACCTGGATGACTGAGAACTTTCACAGACATAAAGTTGATTTAGTTAAAAGATTGTTGTAATGCAAACTGAAGCATGAAACTACAAGATTTTAGCATGTTCTTTACCCAAGCAAGGGGGAATGTCTGTACTCCACATGCCCATGGAGGTGCACTCAGTGCTGGACGTCCCATTCAGCAGAAAGCCCTCATCACATGTTGATGTGCACCGAGAACCAAAACTGAAGGAACCATTTGGGTCAGAACATGATATGGAGCCATGAGAAGGAGAACTAATTGGAGAACATCTCTTAGCTTAAAGACAGACAGACACAAGAAGAGGCAGCTTCTTAACCTGTGGTTCACATTCAAAACGGTTTTGAATTATATAGTATATATATCAGCATTTAGACATACCCAGGCAAACAGGAAGTGCATGACTCCAGTTACCCTGTGAAGAACATTTTGTCACATTTGCACCAATTAGATCAAATCCTTCTTCACACTGAACAGTGCATGTTGAGGTGTAGCTGTGCTTGTTTATAGGGTCGTGGCATTGCAGATAGGCATGAGGTGGAGCCTGAAGACTGTTGCACTGTACCACTAGAAAAGAGGAAACACTGTTCTTTCAACATCAGAGCATGCAATTTTTATTTCTATCCAGAAAGCGCGTGCTGCTTTGTGGTACAGCAGAGTAGTTTGCGACACACCTGCACATGTAGGTGTAGGCTTGCTCCATTGTCCCAAGGTCAGACAGCTGAGCACCTTGTCCCCAGTTAAAGAGTAACCCTCCTTGCAGGTGAAGTTACACCAGGAGCCATAAGAGAAAGGCTCCACGGGGTCAACGCAGGTCATGTGGCCCATAGCAGGTGGGAAAACTGGGGAGCATTTTCTCACTGTGGTGAGACACAGATATCACTCAGAGTTCACATAATGCAGATCAGTGCTCTTATTTAAAATGTCAGTTTGAACAACTGTATGTTATGACTGAGCTTTCACAAACATGAGATCATTTACGGTCAAAGAAAAAACAAAAAAACAGTTTACTGACCCATGAAAAAAAAAATCAGTGTTGTTTGTCCAGCACGGACTTAAATGAGTGTGAAGTGGAGTGATGACAGGCGTGACCTAAAGCTAATCTGCTGCACAGTCCAGACAGGATGTGAAAGTGGACTGAGTGCAGTTATGTGGTAGTATATCTCGAAAGTACATCTGT